TGAACCGCGTGGTTAAGTCAAAAGTACCAGCAGCGCGTTCCAGAAAGGGCGCTACTACTACGTTAGCTACAGCGTGTTCTGGAATACACGCTGGAGCTAAGGAGATTAGCAGTAGCGCTGGGCCATTATACGCGCTACTACTAGGTTGGGCTAGCCATGTGCGCCTAGTTCAAACGTAGCAGCAGCGCTTTTCGCTAGTACGTGTTACTGCTAAAGTCATAGCAGTAGCGCGGTTTATTTACGCGCGCTGCTACTGAGTAGCAGCAGCGCTTGATTTTGTACAGCGCTACTGGTAAAATTCTGTGTATAGGCTTTTCCCTAGTAGTGTCCGCCAGGAGTGATTGAGCCTGTTTAGTTCTTCGCCCCTTTTTACTTGTTGCTGTCAAAGGGGGAGAAGTAGTATCTTAGTAATATGGTCATGCTATGAGATGTTATTTCAACTTTATGTTGCTACCTATGGTACTTGTTCGTTTGAGACTATGTTACTATTCGTGTGCCTGCTTGTTCGTCTGAGACTATGTTATGTTAGTGTGTGGCCATGAAATGTTCTCAGTCTATTTGATGTGTTATGATGATTTCATATGTGCTTGTCTCTCATTTTTTTCTCTTATCTCTTTGTGTTACATATGCTATCATACGAACTTTTGTGTGGGTCATCCTAATATACTCATCGCACGCACACAATGAGGGGGAGCTAAAAGCAAATTGTAACTAAACATATTTTGTATCCTTTTTGCTCTCATGATTGTCATTGCTAAGATTATTTATTACATTTATGATACTACATGTATGATTGTCATCAACAAACAAAAAGGGGGAGATTGAAAGTGCAATCATGCCCTTATATTATGTTTTGATGTTAATGACAATCTACATGTAGGGGACTAACAATGGTTGTCAAGTGAATCTCAGGTGTTGGTCCCCGGTTCGTCAAATTGTGTGTGGATCAAGAGCATACGAAGTGGGTTCTCTCAAGGATGAAGTGTTAAAATGATGTCACATTTTGTTTCCTTGAGTATAGGATTCCACACTATTAAGAGGGGATCGATTGGGTTCGTAACAGACTTGCTCGAGTCAAAACTACTCCTTTCCATAGTTCTTTTTATCCCCTCTTAACTTTGAATCATTCTGTCTCTGGGAGTGCCGGATGTCCGGGCCTCGTGCCGGATGTCCGGGCCTCGTGTCGGATGTCCGGGCTGCTCCCCGGATGTCCGGGCCTCTCACCGGATATCCGAGCCTAGCCATTCCAGAATGCACTTTTGTGCAGTGCTGCTGCCGGATATCCGTCCTTCTACGCCGGATGTCCGGCCTCCTTGCCGGATATCCGGGCATAGCTGTCCAGAGAATGTTTTTATGCTGGGCTGCGCGCCGGATGTCCGGCCACCTGCCGGATGTCCGGGCCTTCCTGTTATGCCGGATGTCCGGGCTTGACCCCCGGATGTCCGGCCCCTCTGTTTCCTGCTCTGTTTCTGCCTTGCTCTTCAAGTGGCTTGCCAGGCTGGATGTCCGGCCCCTAGCCTGGATGTCCGGCCTGCCCGTTCACTTGCACTACAATGGCCATATTTTAGCTCACATTATATATAGCCCTTCTCCCCCATGGGAGAGGGTTGACCATTCACTTTGAACAAACCCTAGAACACATTTCACTCTCTCTCTCTCTCTCACTCTTCCACACCAAATCTTAGATCCCCGAGGGATTTGAGAACTTTCGAGAGAAGTTGTCCCATCAAGTGATAGATCCACTCCTTCTCCTTCTTTGCACCAAAGGAATTCGTGATTTGAGCAAGTCTTGAGCTTTTCCCCTTCGATCTTGTTACTCTTGGAGGTTGGAGACTCCTAGGCAGTAGGAGTCTTTCGGCGAGGAATCGGCCTTTGTGATTACCCCCGGAAAAAGTTTGTGAGGGTTTGGAGACCACCCCAAGGTCTACCACTAGTGGTTGAGAAACGCCTTCGTGGTGTTGTCTCAAAGGGAGAATAGGGTGAGCCTTCGTGGCGTTGGTGTGCCTTCGTGGTAACATCCACCTCTCTAACGGTGACGTAGCTTCCCTCCAAGGAAGTGAATATCGGCATACATCCTCGTCTCCCGGAGTTGCGGTTATTCCTAACCCTAACTCTCTACTTGTGGTTACTTGTCTCTTAGCACTTACTTATATCTATTGTGTTTGTTTGTCTACTTACTTGTATTACTTATTTATCTTGCTTAGCACTTAGTACTACACTTACAATTTTTAGGCTCACTTTCATATTCCGCATTTGTGCCTAAAATTGCTAAGTAACAATTAAAATTTGTAATTGTACCTATTCACCCCCCCTCTAGGTCCATCTCGATCCTTTCAGCAGGGCCGGAATCCGGCTGCCCCCGCCGCGATGGCCCGCGCTCCGGGCGCCAACGCCGCAGTGCGATCCCGGCCGGCGGCTGAGAAGGCCGGCAAGGCCGCGGGCGCAAAGAGGAGGAAGGTTCTGGCTTCAAGGAAGGCATCTTCTTCAACCTCTCATGCCACCCCCCCCCCCATGCAAGGAGGTGCTCCGGCGATGCCGTTCAACGGTGCTGCTCCCACCGCGAGCGAGGGGTTCGATGAAATGGCCGAAAGGTATATCTCTTCGGTCTTCGGCTATTCTCTTTCATTTTTTGCCATTATTTTCGATAGCTCGTGACTTGTTATCGTTCGCTATAGTGGTGGTTCGAACAATGCAACAACTGAATTCGTGAACTTGTTGGACACGAATGCGGTTGACATTGATCAAGCCCCTTTCGAACCATTCGACTACAATGAAACGAAGGGCGGCGTAGACGATCATGGTTGTGCGGACGAGTTGGAGGAGATCGAAGCGGAAGCGTTTGAGCATTCACAAGCAAAAACTGGGAAAAGCCAAAGATCGAAGAACTACACGATCTTGGAAGATCAAACTTTGATCAAAGCATGGAGTGCGGTGCCTCTTCATGCATGCACAGGTACTAATCAAACCTCCAAGAGATATTGGCAAAGGATTGAAGATCAATACTTCCGCATTATGAAAAACTACCCCAATAGGACTCCACCCACATTCCGGTCGCTTCAAGGTCGTTGGGAGAACATCAAGCCTATGTGCAGCCGTTGGGCAGCTTGCTTGGAGCAAGTACGCAATGCACCTCCAAGTGGCACCGTGGAGTCCAACTATGTGAGTTTGCTTTGCCTTTGTTCAAGTTGTGCATCATCATAATGTATCATGAGAAATGATTGCATCACTTTGTTCACATTGTGTAGGACAAGATTGCTCAACATAGATACAAGGACATGGAAGCTTCGAAAGGCAGATTCTTCAAATTAGAGCATTGTTGGGAGTTGCTCCAAAAGTGCGACAAGTGGAAGTTGATCAACAAAGAATCCCCACCAAAGAGAGGCTCACTTACAAACATGGATGAAGATGAGGATGATGATGGCCCAAGAAATTTGAACAAGCCTGATGGCGACAAGAAGACTAGAGAGAAGATAAAGAGAGAGCAAGAAGCATCGAGCTTGAGGGAGAAGATTGATGCCATGGTGCAATCAAACGAGCTGATGTTGTTGAGGTCATTGGAGATCAAGAAAGAGTTGGCCGAGAAGAAGGCAAAAGAGAAGCAAGAAAAATAGCAAATGTTCAAGGAAGAGGGGCTGCGCAAAGCTGCCATTGAGGAGAGAAAAGCATATGCATCTGAAAACAAATCGCTGTCATTGTTGCTCGCCGAAGAGAACAAGATCATGTCGATGAACCGCAATGACATGGATGACGTCACCAAAACATGGCATGATATGGCAAGGAGAGATATCTTGAAGAGGAGAATGGTCGCCTCGGCCGGTCCGTCCGCCAGTTCCGGTGATGTTTTCTCTGCTCCATATCTCTGCTCCATATGGTGGCAATGTGGATGATCTCGGTGCGGGAGTTGGAGCAAGCGACGGAGGTGGCTATGAAGGCTACGGTGGCGCCGGTGAACTTCAAGATGGACTCCATGACGCGTAGTGAAGATCGACCCCCAAGATGATGCCTGACATGGGCGCGTACCTTTGCATGCCCTCTTTTGCGTAATGAACTTCGCTTTTATTTGCGCACAAACTGTTTATGTCATTTGAATTTGAACTTGTTTGTGAAACCCTATGACAAATTTCAGATTTGCAGTTTTTCTGTTTGAGGGTCGTTGCGCTGTTGCCCGAGCAAAACCCGCATAGCCAACCCGTAAAAAAGCATATTCCGTGAATATACTTTTTTACGGGTCCGTTTGGGGGGTCTGCATCTGTGCTAGCCCGCGCCGGCCCGCAAAAACGGTTTTGCGCGAACTGCAAATGCGTTTTGCGGGCCGGCGTTTTGCGGGGTCTGCTAGAGTTGCTCTAAGGGGTCCAAAATATGAAAAGCACATCTGACATTTATATTTGACCAAGAAATTGCTAAAAAAATGTAGATTTATTTTTTTAAATGAGAATATGTGGATTGTGCAATACAAAATTAATAGAGATCATTGGGTTGGCATTCAGAAACCTCTTTTCATCTTGTCCAATTAATCTGTATCTATTATATATTATACTTCAAGTATAGTTGCTGAACAAAGGAAATCAACGTGCCTTACATTACAATGCAACATCTTGAACCTTATATATGGTTAGAATTTTGCAATTTCATAAAATCCTCTATATGACGAACTGGAGTATATTTTCCCGCAAAAGGGAAAAAAAACTGGAGCATATAGTGTCAGAACCTCCAGCACCATGCAAACATATACTACGAAAAGAGAACTGCAAATCATACCAAAATATATATTTAAAATAACATCAACCAATGTCGATGAACAAAGACACCGCAGAGTGTCATCTGTTGCTGGTGAGAATTCAGCGCAGCAGAAGCGCATTTACAGGAGTGACAAAACTTATTGTTTCTTCCATTCCATGGGAAGATATTTTCTGAAAAAGATCCGCCAATGGCTTGCACGTCATGTTCCTTGAGGTTAAAAAGAAGAAGAAATATGGCCGCAGGGACAATGGTGGAGACAGTTAGATAGGGACGCCATAATTCACAATCTTCGTGAGGGCGGAGTTGAGCACACGCTTCTCCTTCTTGACCTGAGAGGCTAGGCCGGAAATCTGCCGGGAAAAGAGAAAACAATGTTGACATGAACTTACATTACAAAATTCTCCAGCTTCACCAACAACAAAAAATTACATATATTTACAAAGGAGATGGGTGCAATCTATTGTGGACGGATTGACGAGCAAAGATAATAGTACAACTAGTCAACACATAACCTGTACATAGTTGAAGAGAATAGTAGTGCAATGAAGTGCAAACTACAGTTATATTTACTGACCTCTGATCGAAATTCAGATGCATGTGCTCTTGGAAGCTGATCAAGAATTCCCTTGAGACCTAAGAAGGAGAATTTTATCATATGTAAGATTCAAGGCGAGAAATTTCCACACCAAATTCGAAGTTATTAAACAAAGCAATGGCCTCTCAAGGAATTGCACGCACCTACTGCTTGGTTTTCAATATCACTGATTTGCTTCAACTCAGTTTGAATGGCACGCCCTTCTTCCCTGAGAAGGTGTACATCCATTCCAATGTTATATGAAAAATAAATAGAAACAGAAATGATAACTGGGTCAAACAAGGAACTACATGCCTGAGTGTATTCCATCCTTTCTGGAATCTTTTTTCTGCTGTTGCAGCTCGATCCTGGAACGCATATGCAATAGTTTTAACCATGAGTTACATAGAAATTACAATTCCCAGGTTTAAAACAAATGTCTTGGTGTTCAATCTACACATAAAGAAAGTTACCATCAGTTTTTGGCTTTCATTCGACATAAGATTGACTGTTTGCCGCATGTGATTCACTTCAGCCTGGATACCAGAAAGTAGGGTCTACAATACAGCAAGTTGTGTTAGACAACCCACCTATTATTGTTTCTAAGGAAAATCAACCCTGTTGTTAAAGACTGCAGGTACCATAAACGAACTTCATAAAATCGTGATCATTTATGTTCTAAAAACAGAAGGAACTGTATTATAACATGCTGATGCAAATAATAAAACATATTGCTCAACAGGTCAGAGTTGATCAACAAGTAGTACGATATGACAAGTTATAAGATGGTTGATGCAGCTTCCAAATATTAAGCTAGCAAATAACTTGTCAATTCACAATGAAGTATGAGCTAATTAAACTGACAGGTAGTGCTCACCTCCTTGCTGACAAATACACGCCGTACACGTTGGATTAGGTAGCTCCTTGGCCCTGCAACGATCAATGACTCAGTTTCAGTCACACTTAATTTAGCAGTATACAAGAAAGCATCCAATTTTTCAGCCTTCATGGAATATCATGGAGCAAACTTCCACTGAATCAACAACCTTGTAATTCGTACCGTGAAATGCTAGAAACTACACCTACACATTAAAGGTTGGATAATCTGAACTGAATTTCAGGGAAGCTGTAATATAATTCACCTAATCCAATATCCAATATCAAAAGAATAATGCGATCAGACAACCTGAATCTACAGGGAAAGGATATGTGCATGATAATTTAAGTTGGACACAGTTAACTGGTTTGCGGTAGTATCAAGACATTCCAGTTAACTGAAAGAAATGAAACATAAATTTTAAATTTCATTCAAGATACAGGGGGGAAATGGTTGCAAACAACTTAAAACTCATTATCCTTTACAAGAGTAAATAATGTGCAAAGCATTCCTCCACACGCAGGTACCGTATTTCTTTGTGAATAGCAAGCAATGACAAATCAGATTCTAATACAAACATCTCAATCTCATCCAACATAACGCCACAAAGCAAATGGTTTCCAGGGAAATGAGATTACTTTTGAGCAGCACGATTCCTGCAACCGTGGCTGAGCCCGCAGCAATGCCCGGATGCTCGAAGGCCATGATGACACCCTCTGCAAAGGCAGCAACAATCAATACTTGATTTCAACGTATACAGCCACAAATGCGCCGACGAGAGATCAAAATCCGACCATTGGACATTCATCTGACCCAAGCTAATCATGATAATCCGTCCATAGTTATGCGATTTTGTAACCCACGATCTGCTCACCTTTGATCTTGCCCAGCGCCATCTGCTCACGAGCAAAGTACTCCTTCTTCACCCATTCCAGCTCTTCCTACACCAAGGGAAAAATACAAATCAACCCGAGCTTGAGCAAATTTCGGCGAGATCGGAGGGGAATGTGGGGGTAGAAGGCGGAACCTTAGCGGCCTGGGTGATTGTTGGGACGGCGGCGAGCGCGCCGGACATGGCCGCGTTGGCGGCGTCGGACGCGGCGATGGCGGAGGAGTAGGCGTGCGCGTGGGCGGTGTCGACGGCGGTCCTGGCGGCGGCGGCCAGGTCGGCCCCGAAGGCCTCGCCCCGGCGCGTGTAGTCCGCGGCCGCGGCCGCCGCGGAGGACGCGGAGGAGGCCACCATGGAGGAGATGGACCCGCCGCTCTCTGGCTGCTGCTGCGGCGGCGGCGAGTCGCCGGCGGGAGCGGACGGCGCGTCGGTCATGGCGGCGGCGCGGTGGGGCTGTGGCTGCGTCGGATCCGGACCTGTTCTGCGGAAATGGGGTTGGGAAAAATAGATTGGCGTACTGCCTGGAATACGTTTTCATGGCGTGGACACGTATTCTGCCTATACGCATTCCATTTGTTCACTCTCTTCGCCTTTTTTTTTTACCTCTTCGCTCTTAGAGATGTCAAACACCGCCTCATGCTCTTTCACGAACCATTGGAAGGTGAGAGCATGCTTTGATTTATGATGGCCATAAAAGGTTCGTAGCAACGAGGAGCAATGTCAAGCCTGGTGCTCGCATTATTTCTGGATTTATGTCAGAATTTCCGGCGATGCGATTTTAGTGGGAGGACTTGTTTCCGTCGACTATGATGCGTCTTTTGTGACTTCGTCAATCTCAAGATAATATGCCGGCTCAGTCTCTCAGAGGTGCTTATACGGTAGGGTGTACTTGTGTGTGTTCATAGGGATGAGTGCATGCGCGTGTATATGAGCGCCTACGCTTGTACGGTGTTAATTTTTTTCGTCCAAGTATATTTTTTCTTTGTATTTTTCCACCATATAACATTTAATAGCATGCCTTCACCCATTTGAATAAACTAGCAAATGTGTACGTGCAATGCACGTTGATAGAAAATTAATTGCATGGTCATATCAGGCAGAAAATTTAATCAGCATTAATATTAGGTAGGAGATCAATTACGCGTGAATTATGTGTATAGTCTATATTCGGTATGTTTATTAGTTTCATGTTAAACATGTCGAGCACTTGTCATTGGAGTAATATAGGTGATTGATTGACAATGTTTGGAGAAGCTTGGAGAGTTTCTGAACAGGGCGGCCCACGCAGCCATGCTCTTGGGGCGGCCCAACGCGCTCGCTTGCTTCGTTCTCGCTTCCTTCTGTCGCTCGGCTCGCCGCCGATTCCTTCGCCTCTTCATAGTTAAGTGGGGCCACTGGGGGTGTTTGACCCTTGAATTAAAAAAGGAGATTTGGAAAAATTCGCAAATTCAGAAATAGTTCACGAAGAGAAAAGAGCAAAATTGAAAAAAAAAATCATGATTTTTAATAAAGTTCATCAGTTTTTTAAAAAATAGTCGAATTTGAAAAAAAATCATCATATTTGAAAAAACTTCATCGAATTTGGAAAAACCATCAAATTTGAAAACACTTCATTGAATTTAAAAAAGTTCATCGATTTTTTTTATAAATTAATAAATTAAAAAATCATCAGTTTTGAAATAAAAAGGTCATCGATATTGGAAGAAGTTTGTGAATTTTGAAAAAAAAGTAAAGAAAAGGAAAACAAAAAATTAAAAATTAAAAGAAAAGAAGTAGAAAGAGAAAAAGAAAAGAAATAGGAAAGGAAAGAAAAAACCAAACAATACCGGTCCAGAAAAAAACCAGATAAGAAAATAACCAGCTGGGAACCGGGGGCTTCGCGCGAACTGAAGAAAGAAGAAAAGGAAGAAATGAAGTAAGTAGGCCCAAAGCTCCTATCCTAGTGGTTATTGGGGTTCTCTCTTAATTAAGAACAGATGTTGAGTTTGATGAATCGGTCGGTCGCATACTTA